GGTTCGGGGTTGGGGCGGGGTTTTAATGGTCTTGAGACTCACCGGTCTCAGGGATTTTTCTTTCCGGGGTAGTGATGGAGGCATTCGAGCCTGTTTCTCTAACCCCGTGATGTATGGGCCTGCCCCCCTTCCTTCCCCTGCCCCCCTTAAGGCTCCCTTCCTTAGTGTTTATCCGGCTGCCCCCGCTTTTTCTTGTGGGGCTTGGGCTTTGGGGCCCCCGGGTCCTGTTGTGGAGGTTCCCGGGGCTGGGGAGGGGCTGACTTGGGGGCCTCGGGCCCCGTTGGTCCCTGCCAGGGTTTTCTACCCTCTGAGCGGAGCTTGCAGTTACAGGGAGTGGGGTTTTTTCTTTTCCCCCTCTGCATACGAGTTGTTGGGCGTCAGCCCCTCCCTGGGTTCGGTTCATAGTCTCTTTGGGTCCGTCCTGCCGGTGGGTACTTTTCTCCATTTCTCACCCTTCTTCTCTGGGACATGAATTCTCCTTCATGTCGAGGTCATGTTCCCCTCGTATTGGGGTCCTGCATGACCATTAGCCTCAGTTGCGGCTGTGCGTTTATGAGCCTTCGTGATTTTGTGTTTGCTTCTGTAGGATCTCAAAGATTTGAGATGGTCTTCGATACTTTCCATATTATTGGAACGTCTGTCATCTTCCAGTGAGGCTTACCTCCAGGCCTTTCTAGAACTCGTTGGTCCTCTTCCGGGCTTCTTTTTGGTTTTCAGTACAGTTTTGTTCTTTTGTAGTTATCTACTCTTTGTGCTCTGTCTCGGCACTGATAATATTCCTTAAATACTCGTAGTTGCTGCCTCCCCGCCAAGCAGGTTGTGTGGTTCGGACCTCATGCGTCCTGCACATGCTCTATGGGGAGTTTGTTTTGTTTATGGGCAGTGTGCACAAGTGTTGTTCTCTCGGATGCTTCGCCTCTCTAGTTCCTCTTATCTCTCCAGTCCGAGCCCTGTAGATACTGGGAGTGTTCTGGATTACGAATATGGTCGGGGGGGGGGTACTCCTAGTTTTCTCTGTATATGGGTATGGGGCACCTCAATTGCCTCTACCCTACTCATCTCCTGCACATGCGGTTCTGGCCTTATTCCACTATCAGTGCTCCCGGAACATTCTCAGCTAAGATGTGGCATGACACGTTCGTGCCAGCTCTCTGCAGGTGAGTTTATGCGTTCTGGCATCTCTTTCGGCCAGGCGCTGGTTTATGGTTTTTGGATGAGTGTTGGGGATTGGTTGTGGCATTTTGTTTGGCCCATTGTGTGCTTCTTCCTGTGGCCTTCCTTGTTCATCTGTGTTATTTGTTACACGGTGGGGCACAGCCCTGTCTTTAGGGGTTTTTCTTGGACACTCATTCCTTGACTGTCATGCAGAGCCTGGCTGAGCTCTTCTGTATACATTGGATTTGCACCGCCCGTGTGTTCGGTTAAAGGTCCTGGGTTTTCATCTTCTCCTTGTTTGGAGCTTCCACATGTTGCCTTGTGTGCACGTGGGTATAGCTTCCATTCTTCCTCTCCTACCTCTGCAGTTTCTTTTCGTTGGGCTGGGAGGTGCTGGTTTTCAGGCCCTGGCTCCGGCATTTTTGTGTTCTCTTTCGGGCGGTGCGTTTTTGTTTTCGTGCTGTTCACATCCTGGTTTGTTCTCATGTCTTATTCAGCTCACTTCCTCGTTGGCCTTGGCCTGGGCCCTGGTTCTTCGTTTTTCATTGCAATTTTGTCCTTATTGTTTGTGGCGTCTGCGTTTCAGCTTTTTTCTGCTGGCAGCTTCTAGTTGTCATCCGTTGTCAGACTTGTTGGTCCTTCAGGGGTCCTGGGGAGTTCCTCCCGGACAGGGCATTTCTGCTCACCCGGGTTGGTTCTTTCCTGGCTTGCCGGGTTTGGGTTCCTGTTTTCTTGGCTTGCCCTGTCAGTTGGCACTTTCCTGATCTCGCAGTGTCACTTCTCACAAGTCTCGCGTCGGAACCGCGGTGTCTCCGCTCTCCTGACAAGCTCACTAACATTGGGAGTTTTTTGTACAGCAGACGTTCCATCTTGTTCCTTGCCGGCTTGGGTTTCCGGCTCCGCCTCTTCCTATGCTCACTCGGTCCACGGCAGGGCTGGTTCAGTTCTGCCTCGAGTCTCTCACCATCTTTTGGTATTCGGGTGGCTTTGTTGATGGTGTCCCACCTGTGTGCTTCGTCTTGGCGGCGGTGTGGGGGTTTTTGGCAGTCCTTCCTTTTTCTTTTTGTCCCTTCGTAGGTTTCCTGTGTTTTGTTGGCGTGGTTTTGTCCTTCTCTTGTGGAGGTTCAGGACCGTCATCTTTCCACATACTGTCGCCTTGTCTCGTGCGGCACTGGCGGAGCCACTCTGGGTTGCTTCTGTTTTGGTGTTCCCTCTGCCCAATTCACGAGCTGTCTCTGGTGTGGTTCACCTCCAGCCTGCTCTTGTGCCACTTGCACAGTCCTGGTTCTTGGAGTGGGTGCTCTCTTCTCTTCTCCTCGGTTTGTTGTGACCCCTTCGGTTCTGGATTCTTTTCCAAGGCTCTTTTCTTGTTGGCATTGGTCTTTGGGGGTCGGTTTGGGGTGTTTACTGCTCTCCTCCGGCTCTTTTTTCGGCTCTTTTGGTCCTTGTGTATAAGTTTGTCCGCTTGCAGCTGTCTCCTTTTCTGGCGGAGACTGACATAGCTGCTTTCTGGAGGGGGTTCTTGGATTGTTGATGCTTGGTTGGTCTGGCCAGGGGTGCATCATGAGTTGTGTTCGGTTGCGGCGCTTTGCCGTTCTTTGCATGCCACGGCTGCTGTGACTGGGGGTCACGCTTTGGGTTATTCCGGTTTCCCTTCTTCTCTGTTCCAGGGTGCTCTGCTCTCTGCTCTCAGGTTGTGAACAGGGGAGGGGTTCGGTCCAGCCACCCTGCAGTCTATCCCCCGTGCCCACGACGTTCGTCGGTTGGCTACACGTTTTTTCATTGATGTTCCTGGGCCTTGTCCGGCCTGTGTGGCCTTGGGTTGGCAGTTGCAATCTTTTGTCTCCACTTCGTGTTGGGGAGTGTGCGACATCCACCTCCTGGGTTATTTTCATCTTTGGGTAGGTAGCTCTGGGGAGCTGACAGGGCTCTCCCCAGAAAACCAGCGTTGAATGTAATGAAATACCATTTTCTGGGTGAGATCCATAGGCTCCCCGGCAACCCTCCTTTCCTCTGGTCGGCATTTTTTTCACGAGTTTTGATAGCCAGCCTCAGAACTGGGGTATTGGGTAGCTGGCACGAGGGGTCTGGGACTCCCTCTTCCCTGTCCCGTGGGGAGAGGAGCTGTGCAGATGGCAGCGCAGCAACGTGGTAACGTCATGCTCATTAGCTTGTTTTTATTTTGGGAGTTCGGTCCACTAGTTCGACTCTCAGTAGCAATTTTTTAACCAGAATAGGGGGGTTTGTTTTGGGGCGCTTACCTTTTTGGGTACCTGACCCAGTCGATGGCAGACATTTATTTATTTATTTATTTATATACAAGAAAGTACATTGGGGATTAAGAGAGAACATAGAAATGATGTTGATTTTACAATCAACATAGAGTGCTTCCAATCACACGGGGATTTCTATAGGCCAGTGCTCCTCGTGCCTCTCTGAGGTGGGGGGGGGGGCCAGGTTCTGGCTTGTGGTCCCTGGTAGGCCCACAGAACTCCATACACATGACTGATGCCAAAGTCTGACATTAGCATTTCAGCCTGGGATAAATCTAGGGAGTCTCCAGGTCTCGCCCAGAAAATGGTGTTTCATTACATTCAACGCTGGGTTTTTTCATTAAAATGTTAAAGGTATTTGAGTTGAATTGATTGAAAAATAACAAGTAAAATACAATGCTCACTACTGTATTATAATTATATATATTTAATAGTGTCTAATTTCCTTTTACTTACTCAGATTTGCAAAACATAATTGGACTCATTCATGTGAATATGTGCATATCCACATATATTAGCTAATTACAATGAAAAGCATTTCTTAGTTCATTTAAAAAGTTATTTAGGCATAGTGTCAAGTAATACATATTCTTGCATAGTATGTTATAGTTTATAACTTCTAATATATAATCATATGCTTTATTTTATCTCTTGTTGTAAACAGTGGGTCTACTATCAATTTTGCACTCATATTCTCAGTGTGGTTATTCCTTGGGAAAATTAATTCTTCAAGCTTATCGAGAGACTGGATGTGAAACTTTATCCCATGCAGAATTTTTATGAATTGCCGCACTAGAGCTCATCCTTTAGTTGAGCATGCCATTGATCATAGGAGTGCTGCAATTTTTTTTTAAATAAAACAAGACATTTAAAATTAAATTCTCATAGTATATGTATAATGGGTGGTATTCTACTACAATAGTAATAACAGTAATTACATATATTTGTCCTACTGTATATCTCCATTGCATTGTAATCAGCTGCATAACTAGTTTTTAACATTTACCCAGTATACCCCAATTACCCTATTATGGTATGAATTATACCATAGTCTATATTGTATTTAAAAAAAAAATAATAATAAGATGATTACAGATATTTGTAGATTAATAAAAAAAATTCTGTCACAGTATTTCCCACATAAAATTAATAAGATCATCGTGCTTGCTTTGCAACACACATGTACTCATAAATCATACAATTTTATCATGCAAGTGTTCACATATTCTATCTAGTTTTCATGTGACTGGTACATGTCAATCCAATTTTTATGTGGCACCTATTTAACATTAATGTCTTAAATAATTATTTTGCAAGGCCTTGAAAAGAGTCACATATCTAGCCAGGCTTTTGATGAACATTGAAAACTACATAAAATCCCATCCAGTCCTAGATCTGCTTTGAAGATTGTTCACATGTCTGTTCGTCTTCTCGTCTCCTCCTCCACTCTTGTGTCTGGAGCGTCCGCGCCCTCAAGCCCCCCTCTCACCTGCACGGCCGCCTGCAGTGTCTGCACCTTCAGGCGAGCCATACCGCCGACTAACGCTCAAAGTTTCCTAGTTCCCCCCTCAGCTCAAGATGCAGATGGAAGAGAAATTCAAGAAGCAGTTCCCAACGCGCAAAGAGCTCGAAATTGTGTCCTCAACTCGACGCTGGAAAAAGATGGACTCCGCTGCTAAGACAATACAAATGGCTTGGCGTGCTTTCTTAAAGTAAGTTTCATGGAACTTATTTTTCATGATTTCAATTTTTGCATGTGTTTGTAGTAATGTTATATTTGTAATTACAAATATATATTTTGCAATATAGATAAATTGTCTAGTTTGATGTTAGTGATAAAATATAACTGAAAATAGGGAGGTAGTTTTTAAGTGCTCCCCCAACTACTAGCATTTTCAGTTATTCCTGAAAGATTTTAAAAGACAAATTCATAGCAAAAAAATTAGGATGACAGTTGGAGTTCTACATTATAGTAGTGGAACTGTGAATAATTGGTGAGCAATACAACTGTTGTGTAAACCATAGTGTTAGAGTTTGAATTCACAGATTGTTAGTAATATTCATTAGTGAAATGTGAGTGACTGAAGTGTAAGACATATATCAATGAAGTGTAAGTGACAAAATTGTGATACACAATGTAAAAATTAATGAAGCGTGACTAAAATTTGAGAGACATAGATACTGAAACTTAAGTGACTTAATCACAGCACTGTGTAGAGTGCTTTAACCCTTTGCCACTCTCCTCATCACATCATATGATGGAGTGAGTAATTATGCTCTGACTGAGCATAACATGTCACATCATAACATGTATACACTACTAGATAACAAGTAGAAGTGTACAGCATAAGATTTTAAAACTCCTGTGGCTACACAGGGTTCATATCGGCTTCTTCAGGCCTCCACTAAACAGATGCCATTTTGAACAAAAATCGTGGGCTCCATTCCTGGGTGTGAAGACCACAGTATTGAATGAGCCACCAAGACCGGCACATGCAGCACCAGCTAACAGCACCGCTGTTCAACTTGTAGTCACAGCATCTCTAAAATATTATGACATACACTATATATGAAACTGATATTATTTTGCAATGATAGTATTATAGAAGAGCCTGTGATGAACACTGTGTATAATGTTTAGATACCAGTGAAAATCTGTTAATGATGTTCACAGTGCAAGGCAGGCAGACACAGCACGCTGCCATTGTTTGGTCCATGTAAACATTTTGAAACGACAGCTCATGTTCCTTTACAGAATAAACTTGTGGAAAGTTATTCATTTACAGGATTTAGTGACAAGGATTTTGATAATAGCAGCATTGTGATGAGAATTAGCGATGTGTATAGTATGTTGGGAGGAGGATTCTTGTTGTGTGAGGTGAAGTCTGCTGGCTTGTGTGTGTGGTGGTACTATGCTGGTTGGACACACCATACCAGCTTAGTGGATAGTTTTGATGAACAAAAATGTAGACATATTATATATAATGTGTGTATATAGTGTAATAACAGCAAAAGCAGTATGTTGGGAGGAGAATTCGTGCTGTGTGAGGTGGTGGTGTCTGCCGGCTGGTGTGTAATTACCTAAGTGAAGTTACAGGATGAGAGCTACGCTCGTGGTGTCCCATCTACCCAGCACTCTTTGTCATATAACGCTTTAAAGCTACTGATGGTTTTTGCCTCCACCACCTTCTCACCTAACTTGTTCCAACCATCTATCACTCTGTTTACAAAAGAGAATTTTCTTATATTTCTCTGGCAGCTTTGTTTTGTTACTTTAAATCTATGACCTCTTGTTCTTGAAGTTTCGGGTCTCAGGAATTCTTCCCTATCAGTTTTATCGATTCCTGTTACTATTTTGTACGTAATGATCATATCGCCTCTTTTTCTTCTATCTTCTAGTTTAGCATATTTAACCCTTTACCTGCGCAACACATCATATGATGTTTTCAGTGACTTGCAGTAACTTGCGCTCCACATCATATGATGTATTGCAGTACTGCGCAAGATTTAAACAGCCTGCGGATACACAGGGTTCACCACACTTAGCTCGTCGAGCGTAGCTCTCATCCTGTAACTACACTTAGGTAATTACACTTAGGTAATTACTTACCAGGGTTCCATGGGGCCTCGTAGCCTGGTGGATAGCGCGCAGGACTCGTAATTCTGTGGCGCGGGTTCGATTCCCGCACGAGGCAGAAACAAATGGGCAAAGTTTCTTTCACCCTGAATGCCCCTGTTACCTAGCAGTAAATAGGTACCTGGGAGTTAGTCAGCTGTCACGGGCTGCTTCCTGGGGTGTGTGTGTGTGTGTGTGTGGTGTAGAAAAAAAAAAAAAAAAAAGTAGTAGTTAGTAAACAGTTGATTGACAGTTGAGAGGCGGGCCGAAAGAGCAAAGCTCAACCCCCGTAAAAAAACACAACTAGTAAACACTTAGGTAACTACACTTAGGTAATTACACCTTCATCCGGGCTCTTGTAAAAGACGCCAATAAAAAAAAAAATCGTGGACCAAATTCCCGGTTGTGAGGGGCCTCAGTATTGAGTGAGCTACCAAGCCTGACACACACAGCATGAGCTTGGCACTGCTGTTCAGCTTGTGACCACAGCATTGCCTGAAAATGCCATAATATACATGTTCTTGCTATTATTTAGCAATGATATTATTACAGAAGCCCGCTGACTGTGATAAAACTGACCAGGGTTCTGATAATAGCAGGATTGTGGTGATATTTAGCACTGTGCTCCATGGAGAGAGGAGTAATGCTGTGGGAGGGAGGGTGGTGGCGTCATCTTTTGACTGTGTGTGGCCACCTTATACTGACTGCACTCACCATACCAGCTTCGTGGTTCGCTATGGTGAACACAAATGTAGTTACTTATATATAACGTGTGTATAGAGGGTATAAACAGCAATAGGAATAGGTTGGGAGCCGCCATTTTGGTGAGGGAGGTGCGTTATCTGCACGACTTATCATGTTGTTTACTGGTGACCACTATGGTCTTTGGGCACCATACCAGTTTACTTTTACAAGTATAGTGAATAAAACAGGTAGATACTTATATATAATGTGTATATATAGCATAATAACACCACAAACAGTATTGTTGGAGGAGAAATATTAGTGCGTCTGGCCTTGAGGGTGGCTGCCACCAGCTGACTGTGTGAGTAGCTACGTCATTGTGCCTTTACTCACCATATAAGCTTAGATGTACAGTTATGGTGAACAAAACATGTAAATACTTATGTATAATGTCTGTATATAAAAGGAAAAACAGTATGGTGGGAGGAGAATGGTGGCAAGTCAGGTGAGGTGAGGAAGGAAGGAAGTGGCAGTCAGTGGTGGGCTGCAACTGGCTGCCATTGCCGCTGCCACTCAGCATACCAACTTAGTAGTTCGTTATGGTGAACACGAATGTAGATACTTATATACAATGTCTGTATATAGTGAATAAAAGCAAAAACAGTATTGTGAGAGGAGAATGTAGTTGAGTCAAGGTGACTTGAGGGAGGGAGGAAGTAGCAGCCAGTGGTGGGCTGCCACTGCCACTCAGCATGCCAACTTAGTGGTTCGTTATGGTGAACACGAATGTAGATACTTATATATAATGTCTGTATATAGCGAATAAAAGCAAAAACAGTATGGTGGGAGGAGAATGTGGGCGAGTGAGGTGTTGAGGGAGGGAGTGAGTGGCAGGCTGGTACACGGCGGTCACTCCTCGTTACTTTTTGACTCATAATAGCAACTTAGTGGTTCGTTATGGTGAACAAAACATGCAGATACTTATATATATCCTGTGTATATAGTGTAATAACCGACAAAGTATTTGTTCACTGTTTGATGAACATAATTCAATCAACAATATGCACACCATATTTTTGAGTACAGCGATGATTCACTCATTTTATTATATAAATATATCACACTACACACTATTGAATAATATTACAGCAAAAAACTATGAAAAGTCAATCAGAGACATTGAAATAATTAGGTAATTATCTCTTTGTGGCAACTCCGGCCTGACAGCTGGCGAGCAACAGACCATCTGGGATGCACGCTGAGTCAGCGCCTGTTTTTTGCCAGACTTCCCCGCCCTATAGTGGGCAATATATGCCACTTACGATTTTTTTTTATTATTTTTCCCATGATCAGTGAACACAAATTAATAGGTTTAGAAGAAAAAATATTTTTTTTTTTTTTTTGGTATGCGCCTGTGGGTGACACATGCTAAATAGCCAGGCACCATTTAATTTAAGGGTTAAACTCTCAGGACCCTGGGAATCCCATAGGGGACACATGGGTCTGATGGATGTGTCCCCTGAGTCCCCCTCCTCGCTTCATGCAAGTTCGAGGGTTGCTCGGTCCCCCCTTGACTCAGGGTGACCCCTCACAGTTTTTGCCTCCATCACACTGTCTGTTGGGTCATTGACACCTTCGACCTGGAGTCAGGCGAGTTCTGTTGCTTGCTCGTGACTCTGTTTACCCAATCTCAAGATGATGTTCTACAGGTACAGGCGGTGCAGGAGTTGCATGCTCAGTTTAGGTTGTTGCAACACGCAAAGTTCGTTGCTCACCCTGATGCCCCAAGGCTGCCCCGTTTTGCTTATAGGGACCCGGACTTGGGGGAATGGGTCGCTTCGACCTTGGTTCAGTTCGCACCCCCTCGTCCTTCCTCTGCTGTGGTGCATCCTGGTCCCCGCTTTCCCCTGCTTCCGGCCCTGAAGAGTCTGAGGGTTTCAGAGTCGGGACAGGGTTTAGATGGTCTTGAGTCTCGGGGGATGCCCCTTCTGGTATGGCAACGGAGGCATTCGAGTCCACTCTCCCTGCCAGAGCCTCTGGGTCTGACCAGTGGGCCCCCCTTCTGTTCAACTTTCTCGGCTGCGCTGGCTTTTTCTTTAGGGATTGGTGCTCTGGAGGATGACTCAGCCCTGAGTTCCGAGGAGGGGGATCTTAGGGTTGGAGGGTGCTGACTTGGGGGCCTTGGGCCCCGCTGGACCCCACCTGGGTTTTTCTACCCTTGGAGCAGGGCTTATTGTTACAAGGAGTGGGGTTCTTCCCCCCCCCCCCCCTCCTCTGCGTACGAGTTGGATTTGGCATCTGCCCCTCTCTGGGTTCGGTTCCGTGTTCCCTTGGGTGCTTCGGTTCTGTCTTTCTGGAGGTTTTCTGCTTTTCAAACGTCTGCGGTGCGGGAAGCCCTGGCATCTTACCTCT